CAGGTCCCATGGAGGCTATGGTGGTCATGGTGGCTACCGCGGCAAGAGAAGTGCCGAGGCCGAAGCTCTGGCTGACCCTGAGGCTGATCCCAGTGCTGGTCATCTAAGCTATGGTGGCTACGGTGGTTATGGTGGCTTCCAAGGAATTGGCCGCCAGCACCACTATGGCAAAAGGAGCGCTGACGCAGACCCCGAACCTGGCCATAGCCGCTTTGGAGGCTTTGGAGGGCACGGTGGTGGCTTTGGTGGCTTCAGTAGATATGGCGGATACGGACGATAATGTCGCCTTCTGAGGATCCTGATCAGTATTAACGGCGACGGCAACTTCTGAACTATTTCTAACTGAACGATAGTAATAAACTTTGCAAGCTTAACAATACAAAGATTTTACTTTCCTTTCTACAATTTTATTTCTTAGATATAAGTTATTAATAGTTGGTGGAGGTGATGAGGACCAAGGCAATAATAATACAAACATGAATTATTTACTCTCAGAAGTCTTCCTCCTTAATGGCTTACCACTAAGAAAATTTCTTAGTAATATAGTTTTACGATTCAACAATACTAGAAGAATCAGGTAAATAGCAATGGTAGTTTGTTCGCGATTTTAAGGCAGAATTTAAGTAAAAAGTTTCCTGGTCGTAAGTTTTGTCTGCAGGGAACTAAGGAATAATATTAGACTACACCAACTGTTACTACTTGCTGGATATTATGGTAAACACTAAAGGAAGGATGAGCAATGATCTTACAAAACATTGGAGACAGGATTGATGACGTAGGTACTATGTAGTGATGATGAACCAAGGGAAAAGATTAAATTGTACTTGACGTTTAATCATCCCATTTCTGTTTCCTTTTTCTTATTATCGTGTTGTATATTCGTTAATAAACGCAACTAAAGGGTTTGATCCAAATCATTTCTCTTATATCCAAGAATAAGTTAGTACAGCGAGCTCTAACATACACTGTTCCAGGTATATACGGATCACCTTTCTCCTGCCACACACCACATACACACTACACATACATCAAAACATTGTACAAAAAGAACGATGGCCAGAAATAAATACAAGATCTAGGCATCGCAAGAGATTAGTCACTAAACACAACGCGAGAAGTGAAAGCAGCAGTGAAAATAATAACAGAGATTTCGAAATTATAAAATGCACTGTGCGAACCTTTCAATTCAAAGATAGGTAGATGTCCCTCCATCTTTATATATCTCACGTACTGTAGTACACTACGTCCCAGTCTGGATTACTGCACACAAGGCTACACATGTCTCTGGGTCTCCTTCCCTCGGCCTGGTCACCCCAAGTGAGGTGGTCATTAGGTACATAAGGTAAAGAAGCTCTACCTGGACTTAACACCATCTCCCCCTCTCTCTGTGTGACACTTTGTAAGGCTCGTCAGTCAATCTTAACTAACTGAAACTGGTGGTTAAAAAAATAAATAACTTCTTGGTGGAGTACTGTGGTAGTGATATGGCAGAGTCATGTGGTGGAATCATGTGCCTGAGTCATGTGATAGAGTCGTGTGGTGGAGTCTTGTGCTTGAATCACGTGGTGGAGTACCATCTATAAGTCCAATTGCAGATTCATGTGGTAGAGTCACGTGAGTCATGTGGTAAAGTCATGTGGTGGTGGGTCTTAGTTCAGGTGTTTCCAAGACTGTCCTTTGTTGTACTGTACTTTGTGACGCTGGTAAGATAGATTGACATATAAAGAGAACGAAATCTTATACTGTAGTGAAAGTCAAATGAACAGAGAATACTTTACTGTAGCATTTATACCCAGTCATGCCCCGTGGAGGAAACTGAGATAGAGATTAATAATGGAGGGAAAACATCAAGTACACGTGTGTTGTTATGACGAGGGATGATCAAGAGAATGTATTATGATGCTCTTGTAACTCAGTAGGACGATAGTTAGGGAAAGTCATCACACGGCTCATATAAAAATGGTATTTATTCCCTCCAGTCAAATACCTGTACTGCCTTTACTAAAAATAACATATATTAAGAAAACTAAATATAATACTCTGAACAGTTTACGAGTCATTAAATATTTCTAAGAGGAGGATCAAGCCTGTTTATTGAAAATCTATCATCTAATAATTACGAGCTGCAAAACATTAAGTAACACGGAAGTCGAAATCGAAACTTGAGTTCACTAGATTTTTAACCTTCAGTAACTACCTAACCACCATGTGACAATAAGGAATGACGTCACGATGACTGGTATCCATGTACTGTTGGGAAAGATTTTTTTGGGGGGAAGGGGGGTAAGGGGAGGGGACAAGACCTTGGAAACTGGCTGTTCAGCTTTGTTTGTCAGGGGAGTGTCATAGCTCAAGGAGGCATAAAAGACCCCGGAGCCTCTCCCCACGGCACACTTTATGTTGAGACACCCCAGCATGAAGGTCTTGGTGAGTTTTCAACTTATTATTTAATGATATGGAATTGTATTTTCTCCTCCTTGCAATACTAATGACATCTTCATTACCTATATACAGGTTTACAAACAGCGTTGGAAGCCTAAAATTTAACTTGGTGTTAATATCCTTTTGCAGGTAGCAGCACTCGCCCTCGTGGCCACACTTGCAGTGACTGGGAGCGCTGAGCCCCTACCGGAAGCTGACCCGGGTTTCCATAGAGGATTTGGAGGCTTCGGCGGCAGATCCCATGGAGGATTTGGCGGCTATGGTGGTCATGGTGGCTACCGCGGCAAGAGAAGCGCCGAGGCCGAAGCTCTGGCTGACCCTGAGGCTGATCCCAGTGATGGTCATCTAAGCTATGGAGGCTACAGTGGTTATGGTGGCTTCCAAGGAATTGGCCGCCAGCACCACTATGGCAAAAGGAGCGCTGACGCAGACCCCGAACCTGGCTTTAGTCGTTATGGCGGCTTTGGAGGGCACGGTGGTGGCTTTGGTGGCTTCAGTAGATATGGAGGATACGGACGATAATGCGGCTTTGTCAGGATCCTCATCAATATTGACAGTGACGGCAACTTCTGTATTTTTTCAAACTGAACAGTAGTAATAAACTTTGCAGCTGTACAATATAAAGATTTTACTTTCCTTTCCACAGTTTTATTTCTTATATATGTATAAGTTCATTAACAGTTGGTGGAGGTGATGAGGACCAAGGCAATAATAATAATAATAATAATAATAATAATAATAATAATAATAATAATAATAATAATATGAATTATTTCCTCTCATAATTCTTCCTCCTTAATAACTTGCCAATAAGGAAATTTCATAGTAATATAATTTTACTATCCAACAGTACCAGAAGAGTTAGAAAAACTGCAATAGTGGTTTGTTGGTAATTTTAAGGCGGTATTGAAGTAGAAAGTTTCTTGGTCGTAAGATTTGTCTGCGGGAAACTAAGAAATAATGAGACTACACCGATTGATACTATATGTTGGATATTATGGTGATGCTGAATCATTGGAAAAGATTAAAATATACTTGACTTTAATCATCCGACTTCTGTTTCAGTTTACTTAATTATGTTGTAGATCCGTTAATAAACACAATTAAAGGTTTCGATCTAAATCATTTCTCTTATATACAGGAATAAGTTAGTACAGTGAGCTCTAACGTACACTGCTCCAGGTATACACGGCTCACCTTCCTCCTGCCACACACCACACACACATCAAAACATTGTACAAAGAGAACGATGGTCGGAAATCAATGTAAAGATCTAGACATCGTGAGAGATTAATGACTATAGACAGCTTGACAAGTGAGAGCAGCAGTGAAAAAAAAAAGATTTCGAAATTATTAAACGTACGTACATTCTAATTCCAAGATTAGTAAATGTTCCTCCATCTTTATATATCTCACGTACTGTAGTACACTACGTCCCAGTCTGGATTACTGCACACAAGGCTACACATGTCTCTGGGTCTCCTTCCCTCGGCCTGGTCACCCCAAGTTAGGTGGTCATTAGGTACATAAGGTAAAGAAGCTCTACCTGGACTTAACACCATCTCCCCCTCTCTCTGTGTGACACTTTGTAAGGCTCGTCAGTCAATCTTAACTAACTGAAACTGGTGGTTCAAAAAATAAATAACTTCTTGGTGGAGTACTGTGGTAGAGTGATATGGTGGAGTCATGTCTTTTAGTCGTGTGGTAGAATCACGTAGTGGAGTCCCGTGTTGGGTCGTGTGGTGGAGTCATGTGGTGGTACTATGTGGTGGAATCATGTGGTAATCACGTGGTGGATTCACGTGATGTCATGTGGTAGTCATATGATGGAGCCATGTGGTGGATTAATGTGGTGAATTCATGATATTGAGTAATGTAGTGGAGTCATGTGGTAGAGTAATGTGTTAGAGTCATGAGGTTGGTTGTGGTGGATCTTAGTTCAAGTGTTTCCAAGACTGTCCTTTGTGACGCTGGTAAGATAGATTGACATATAAAGAGAACGAAATCTTATACTGTAGTGAAAGTCAGATGAACAGAGAATACTTTACTGAAGCATTTATACCCAGTCATGCCCCGTGGAGGGAACTGAGATAGAGATTAATAATGGAGGGAAGAAATCAAGTACACGTGTGTTGTTATGACGAGGGACGATCAAGAGAATGTATTATGGTGCTCTTGTAACTCAGTAGGAGGATAGTTAGGGAAAGTCATCACACGGCTCATAAAAAAATAGTAATTATTAAACCTTACAACCAAATACCTGTACTACCTACACTACAAAACAATATATATTAAGAAGATTAAGTGTAACTATCTTAACAGTTAACGAGTGATTAAATAGTTCTAAGAGGAGGATGAAGACTGTTTATTGATAATTACGAGCAACAACACATTAAGTAACACGGAAGTCAATATCCTACCTTGAGTTCACCAGATTTTTACCCACCAGTGACTACCTAAACATCGCCTGACAATAAGAAAGGGCGTCACGATGAGTGGTGTCTATTGTATGTACTGTTGAAAAAGATCTTTTTTGGGGTAAGACCTTGAAAACTGGCTGCTCAGCTTGGCAGAGGGTGTGTCACAGCTAAGAGAGGTATAAAAGAGCTCGCAGCTTCCCCTCACGGCAGTTCAAGTTGAGACACCACAGTATGAAGGTCTTGGTGAGTTTTGCACTTGTTATTTAATGATATAGATTTTTGTTTCTACTTGCAATACTTATGACACCTCCATTACTTATATGCAGGTTTGGAAACAGCGATGTAGTCCTAAAATTTAACTTGGTGTTAATATCCTCTTGCAGGTAGCAGCATTCGCCCTCGTGGCCACACTTGCAGTGACTGGGAGCGCTGAGCCCCTCCCAGAAGCTGACCCGGGTTTCCATGGAGGATTTGGAGGCTTCGGCGGCAGATCCCATGGAGGATTTGGCGGCTATGGTGGTCATGGTGGCTACCGCGGCAAGAGAAGCGCCGAGGCCGAAGCTCTGGCTGACCCTGAGGCTGATCCCAGTGCTGGTCATCTAAACTATGGAGGCTATGGTGGTTATGGTGGCTTCCAAGGAGTTGGCCGCCAGCACCACTATGGCAAAAGGAGCGCTGATGCAGACCCCGAACCTGGCCATAGTCGCTTTGGAGGCTTTGGAGGGCACGGTGGTGGCTTTGGTGGCTTCAGTAGATATGGAGGATACGGACGATAATGTAGCCTTATCAGATTGTGATCAGTGTTGACAGTGACGGCAACTTCTGTATCATTCCCAACTGAACAATAGTAATAAACTTTGCAGCTGTATATTACATTGATTTGATTTTCCATTTTACAATTTCAATTCTTCCATTTCTGTATGTTGACAATGGGTGGAGGTGATGTGGGAACATGGTAATAATAATAATAATAATAATAATAATAATAATAATAATAATAATAATAATAATAATAATAATAATAATAATAATGATTTGTTCTCTCAGAAATCCTCCTCCTTAATGACTTCATACTGAGGATATTTCTTAGTAATGTTTTATAATGCAACAGTACTAAAAGAATCAGGTAAATTGCATCAGTGATTGTTGGCTTTTTTAACTTGGTGTTTTCATAATCTTCATCTGTTCTCATCCAAATAACATGTCTTCTACCTAACCGATTGTCACTAGATTCTAAAGGAAACACGAACAATGATCATACACAAAGTTCAAGACTAGAATGGTATCGTAAGTACTATATATTGATGTTTAATTAATGGAAAAGATGAAAATGTGCTTATAGTTTATTTATGCAACTTCATGTGGTAGAGAGCCATTGACAACAACAATAACGGTAGTAGTGGTGGTGGGTCTTAGTTCAGGTGGTTACAGTTTTGTGATTGGAAAGACGAAGTGAAATATGAAGAAGAGACCGATGTTTGTACTTTAGTGAGTCATGTGGGCAGAAAGAGGTGGGGAAATCACTGAAATTTTGTCATCTTTATGATATATTGTACAGTATGTTACCAATGTGTTTTACCTGCTAATTTCTACTTCTCCGAGTGCAGAAATTATCAGAGATCAGCGCTGAATATCTTCCTTAAAACTGTATAATATAGATGAAATAAATGAAATACTAAAGCTCAGTTGAGTAACACGTCGCACTTTTTCCCGTCAGCCAGTCAGCTGTCTTGTTACAAACAGCTCTAGACCACATTTCCAAAGTTCGAGTGAACAGACTATAAGAATAGCATTCACCTTCCTGGATGGTACTAACCCCAATAACGCTCTTCAGAAGTGGGGTGCTGTCACCCCCTGGGCAGTTGCCTAGCTTATACTATAGACGGGCAAGAGGTGACTTAATAAAAGTCTAAAAACATTTCAGAGGATATTGCTTAGTCGAGTATTCATACGTGGAACTAGCGGATGCTCACCTCAGTAGAGGTTACATTTTCAGGTTGAAGAAGCCACAAGCTCAGAAAATTGTGAGGGAAAGCTTGTTTCTTTTTAGTGAGAGTTGTGAACTCTAGAAATAATCTACTAGAGAGTGTTGTGACGGTACCGAGTGAGGGACATTCAAGACCAGACTTGACCAACACTGACGCAGGTTCAGATACATTCTGAAGCTAGTGAATGCCCAGTACTTTCTAAAAGTGTTTAACAGAGACGTAACCAACCGCCCAAGCGGCTAACAGGTCGATCACTGGCGAAGAAGATAAAGGTAGGAGGGGTGGAAGGACTTTTCTCTCGGTCAGTCAGTTAGGAACAATACTCACACAGTTAGGTAACAACGATACCTTTTATCATTAAACTTCACTGGTCGTGCAGGTAAGCGAGAAAATATGAATGGTGTATGCTGTTTATCGGAAAACGTGTCGGGAGATGATAGACAACGGCAGTGAACCACAGTCTGGCGTCTGTTACTGAACACTTGTGGCTCTTATGACATAAAGGTATGTCGTTGATTATCAGATTATATTTTTTCTTTTCTTTTTTTCTTGCTCAGAGGGAGGCTGAAGCAGTCTCTTAATGGTCAAATACTTTTATCAAGACCTGCGAGAGTTCGACTTTTTCTCTGTATTCCTTAAGTTTAGCTAAACCTGACAATAACAGTGGTCATCCTCAAGACTAACCAAAAGACGGTTTATAATTACTGGAGCATCTCACTATACATAAACCATTGTTTAATCTTGTGTATATCCTCGCCACTTTCGTTCTCCAGTTACATAGAAGCAACAGCACTGACCCACAACTCAGCAGGAAACATCAGGAAAAATTTTCCCTTATGTAACAAATTTTTTTTTTTTTACTGGACACGACCAGATCACTTCCAGCATGACAAAAGATCGACCAAAAAACGCCCAAGGACCATTAGTGAATTACACCTAATGCGGTTTTCTTGGGGCCAACCATACACTTTCCTCGGTGTGGAGTCATTGTGTTTACTCAACTATAGCATTGGTCATTGTTCAACGTACAGACAATGGCGGTCACTTAACAGGAATCTCGTTTATACTGGATATTGCTGCTGTTAGCTCCGTTGACACTAGACCCTGGACGAAGGTAAAAACGTACTAAACGTCTAGTGTTCATCCACTTCCTGGAGTAGGATGACGCAGCAATAAAAACCCCAGTAAAGGAGGTGAAGAGAGACGGACAAGTAGAAGGGACCTTACGACGTCCAGGCGTGCAGCACCTCAGGGGTGTTGGACCCTTTTTGGTAATGGTGATGACACACTTCACTATAGGGGACAGTATAACTGTGGTCGAAGAGACATCAAACATCAAGGGCAGGACTGAGAGTGAGTTTTAAACTCTATTAAACTCCTAACCTCTACCAGTGATGACTAACCCTCACAACGTACCTAACGCCCTCTGCATCATATTAACCCAATAAAGGGGAAAAAATATCCTACGACACCAGTGAAGAATGAACAATATGTCTGAGTCGCAACACAAGAGATCCTTCTAGGTGTTTACTGACCTCTTGTGCTGTACAGTCTCTCCAAAAAAGGTATCGTTAGATTTTCCGTCGCTACAATTTGAAAAATTAGGCGAAATGCTTTGATATGATCTCCAGTGCATCATCATAAGTTGGTACGTACGTCTACACGGCCTATCAGCAACAGCTAGAGACGGGGGTAGGATTGGGGGGTGAGTCGTCCTTGTATGGCACAACTAAACACAATATAACCAAAGAAACCCATTAATAAAACTATATTAATATATTAATGCATGTATCATTCAAAAACGTGCTATACTCATTCATGCTCAAAGGTCACAGATGTAGGCTACCAACCGTTCAGGAACAGGTCGGGTAACATTGTTTGGAAAGTCTGAGACCACATCAACCCCATGACTAACGATATTTTTTTGGGGGCAGGACTGTACTACACACGACGCCCGGCGATCTGGATCTTGATAATTAAAGGTTGGGAGGTTAATTTTTACCTCTAAGTGAATACTCAAGTACCCGTTTTACTGCCTCACCTCAAATTACGAAACAAGAGGGTGAGCAGATGACACTGTGACTCTATTGTAAACATACGCAGTTTTCTCTTAACCAGGATAAAAAGTTCAACATACTAATTTTTACTAATTCCCGCTGGCGGATCAACTGACATAAACAGAACTGGGTTAGACGATCTTAGAGTTTACGGCGGTTGTTAAGTTCATAAGAGGGGTCGAAGTGGGGCCCATGAACACACACACACACACGAGCAATTAAACGGGAACATCTTCACGGCTCATGGTCTCTAAGATAAGGGACATACAAGTCGTGAAGATGCTTACATTGTAATCGTTCATGTGTGTGTGTGTGTGATCTGAAAGAACGGATTATGAACTGTTTGCCGTGCAGGTCATCGAATACTTCATGTATATAGTAGACGTCACAGGGACACACCATTAACCACAACTATTTTATATGTTTTAGTATATTTTACTTGCAGTTATTTTTGTACTTAATTTACTCGTAGGTTTCCTCTGTTTTTTGTGTTACTGGTTGAATCAATTAACTTTTATTAATGTTTGGTGTTTTAAAGCATTTGCATTTGAATCATTTTATGTAAAATTTTAGTGTAAACTCAGTATTCATAATTTGTGGTCAATAAAATATCTATCTATCTATCTATCTATCTGTGGAAAATATTTTATGAAGATACGAGCAACTACTGTCCTCTCTCTCTCTCTCTCTCTCTCTCTCTCTCTCTCTCTCTCTCTCTCTCTCTCTCTCTCTCTCTCTCTCTCTCTCTAGTTCTCTGGTTCTCTAATTGTCTCCTTATTTCGGGCTCAGGTGAGTACAAACATCCCTCTTCACCTTCCTCTGATCTCTGCACCACAGACATGTAAACAGATTTTCAGAGATTCGAGTCATATTTCCTTCTAATTGGAGCCGAGAGAAAACACCTTTGTTGACTCACTTAAGTTATAAGTTTCCCTTAACTGGAAATATGAAAACATAACTTACACAAAAATAAAAATATCATTGTCGTTATTAAATTGATTTGTTGTTACTGAATTTCGGAAGGGCTTCAGTAACTAAGATATTTACTTTAGGACTACATTATTAAGACGACTTATCTTTATTCCAATGAGGAGAAGATAATTACTGCACAGATCTTTAAAACTCTGAAGCATGCGAGATGGTGATGGAATACGTTCACTGCACTGGTAAACCGTGAGTAACAAGATGAAAGAAACTCTATTTAAAAGTAAAAGAAGGAAGAGATAAGAGATTACTTGTAGAGCTGTTAAGTGTGAAGCCATTTAATATATAACGTATACTATCTTACAAAGGTTCATTATTAATCGATCGTAAATTCATGAGCCTCAGGGCGCGTGACTATACAGCAGAAGGTGCCATTGTTCTTCAGTGCACCACCAAGGTTGACAACCCACGCGCGTTCACCCGTTGTGGCTGTCAAAAGAAAAATATATTTATCTTTTTATTCTCTTTTTTTTTCAACTCGGTAAATTGCGGGTGGTCATGGTGAATGTCCAGCTAAAGCCGTGTTTACCCCGGCTTTCTAGGAAAAATGTTCCGAAAGTTGAGTACAGAAAATCACTCGCGAAATTATGGAAAAAATACCCCCCACCACCCACACCACAAACCAGTTTTAAAACACGAGTTCCACTGACCAGTTTGGTGAGTAAAATCAGAAGAAAAAGTTGTGGAAGTCAAGGATTAACCTCCGTGTGCCTCACTGTTATAAACGTCAATAACTCTCACCTGATGTATGCACTCTGTTACAGTATGGTGTTATAGTTTGGGGTTACAGTTCGGTGTTACACTTTAGTATTACAGATTAGTGTTGTAAGTACAGTACAAA